ACACTATGGGACAAGGGGAGGGGGAGACACTATGGGACAAGGGGAGGGGGAGACACTATGGGACAAGGGGAGGGGGAGACACTATGGGACAAGGGGAGGGGTAGACACTATGGGACAAGGGGAGGGGTAGACACTATGGGAGAAGGGGAGGGGTAGACACTATGGGAGAAGGGGAGGGGGAGACACTATGGGAGAAGGGGAGACATTATGGGAGAAGGGGAGGGGGAGACACTATGGGACAATGGCGGGGGGACACTATGGGAGGGAAAGTGCACTATGGGACAATGGGGGGGGGGACACTATGGGATCAGAACACTAATGGACAAGGGGAGGAGGGGTTAAAGAACACTATGGGACAGGGTAGGAGGGGTTAACAATCACTATGGGACAGGGGAGGAGGGGTTAACAATCACTATGGGACAGAGGAAAGGGGGGTTAAAGATCATTATGGGACAGGGGAGAAAAAAAAATATTCTGAACAAACTGTCCCATAGTAAGAAACACTATGGAACAGTTTGTTCAGAATATTTTTTTTTTCTGGGTTTCCTCCTCTAAAAACTAGGTGCGTCTTATGGTGAGGTGCGTCTTATGGAGCGAAAAATACGGTAATTTATTTATTTTATATTATATAAATATAATGATGGTTATTTAATCAATATCATTCTACATGTATTTTAAATATATATATATATATATATATAATTATATATATTTTGAAAATACACTTAGACAGTGTATGTATATGTGTGTGTGTGTGTGTATATAAATATATATACACACACACACATACTTTTCTCTTCAGGCTGGGTGCCACCACCACATGACCACCCTCCGAAGGTCCTTCATGTTCTTGGGGCCAACGCTTTCACACTTCTGTCTCTACCACTAAAGTACTGTTCAGTAGCATCAAGGGAGTCATTGCTGTCAATGTAAAGCTAATGATTTAATGCTTGCACCCCTTCTTATGCATGCTAAGTTACACTATGAATCTTTTTCACCCCCCCCCCAGGTGCTCCCAAGGTTAGGAGCATATTTTTATTTTTAGATTTTATTTTCAACTTTTGGCACTGTCTTAATGTCAGATGCATCTTATGCTGTAATTGTTAAGATATGCCCAATTTAATACTGGCAACCGATTTAATGCCATTTCCTCTACACTCCTATGAGTGTGAATCGAAGTTTTATATAGTTCTGCCTGAAGTAGTGGAAGCAGGAAGCAGCTTAGATAAACAGACAAACATGCAGGCACAATGTACACATTTAAGCCACCCTCCTATTTCCTATCATTTAGGTGCAGGAGGGTGGCTTCCTTGGGGTCCAATCGGCTAACTGAGACTGTTAGTAGTCCCTTGCGGCTCTGTGTTAGCTGGAAGGAAGTGACCACCTGTCATTTCCTCACTTGCTACAGAGATTACAGGGCACAAACGTTTGCCATCGTGTGGATGGCTACACCAGTAGTAGTTCTGCCACTAATAGGCGTTAAGTATCGTAATGTGATTCAAACCCCTGTAGTCACTATAGGATTTGAAATCCCCCTCTCTTTTCGACAAAAAATGATCCTGCTGGAGATGAGAACCTTCTGATAAAACCCATAGCCAGTGACTCCCTAATATATTCCTCCATTATAACATTCTCTTTTTCTGAGGGCAGGTAGACTCTACCTTTAGGTGGCATAGTACTAGAAAGTAGATCTACTGCACGGCCGTAAGCATGATGGGGAGGTAACCTTTCAGCTTCTTTCTTTTTAAATACTCCCCATAAGTCAGCATATTGTGGAACTATGGAAGTGGGCAAAGGAGCAGCTGTAGGTACATGTTTAGTGTGTACAAGACATACTGGCATTACGGCATTTCTTATGATAGCCTTTTCTCCATTAAATTTTCTCCCAATCTATAACAGGGTTATGTTTAACCAACCAGGGAAAACCAAAGACAATAGGACAAGAAGGGAAAGAAATAATCGAAATGACAATTTTTTCCATGTGTAGGGCTCCTACAGACATAAGCAAGTCTTTGTGGTTCAAATAATGGTCTACTATCTATGGCCACAATGGCTATGGATGTTGCATTTTGAATAAGAGACAAAACAGAACAAAGACCCACTACTACCCGGCAGCTATAGACCTAGCTCATTAATTAACCAGGACATGACGATCTTGGACAAAATCCAGGCAGATAGACTCACCCCCTTTTTAACATCTCTAATAGACGCTGATCAGGTAGGGTTTATACCGGGGAGACAATTATTTGAAAACACCCGCCGAAACATCACCCTTATATGGAAACAAGCAAACAATAACACACCGACACTAATAGTTTCTATTGATGCCGAAAAGGCTTTTGATAGAGTGAAATGGCCTTATCTGTTTTCTTTGCTGACACACTTGGGATTCCCAGACACGTACATTAGAGTAGTGAAAGTCATGTATAGCAACGTGAGAGCGCAGGTGCAGATCACTGGCGCACCCCCTTCGCCCTTTAGATTACATAACGGCACCAGACAGGGCTGCCCCCTGTCCTCCTTGCTGTTTGTCATGGCTTTGGAGCCGCTGCTGCAAGCAATTAGGCAAGATCCCAATATTCAAGGGGTCAAATTGGGAGGGAGGGAATTTGTCGCGGCAGCCTATGCTGACGACGTACTCCTGACACTGACAAACCCGGAAGTTTCAATGGCTGCCTTAGGGGAGATGCTAAAGGAATACGGGGAGATCTCGGGATACAAGGCCAACATGGCAAAATCCAGCGCTCTTCCGGTAAGCATGTCCCAAACCGATATAGCGTTGCTAGACAGCACATACAACCTTCACATATAGAGGGACACTCTTAAGTACTTGGGGATACACCTCACTGCCGAGCCTAGCGCCCTTTACGCCCGTAATTATACCCCCTTATGGAAAACCATAACTAAAGATTTAGAAAAATGGCCCATATCGTGGATAGGCCGGATCCACTCCATAAAAAATGAACGTCCTCCCTCGGATACTATTCATGTTTCAGGCATTGCCCATACACTTATCCAAAGCCCAACTGGCACCAATCCAACAGATAATAGGCCAATTTATCTGGCAAAACAAAAGGCCATGGATATCGAGGCACGTACTGTACCGATCCAAACAGAGAGGGGGACTAGGCCTTCCGAACTTGCTCTTCTATTACCTGGCTGCCCAAATGACTCAAGTCACATTATGGCATTCGCCACTGGACGACCGGAAATGGGTGGAAATCGAATCGCTTATGCTAGGGTCAGACCTACCCCAAATTGCAATGTGGATCCCGAGGGAGGACAGGCTCCTGGGGTACGCTGTGTGTCCTGCAGTTATGACCTCCCTCCGGCTCTGGGATAAATACGGGAAGAAATATGGACTGACATCCTCCCCGTCCCCCTTGATGCCCATTCTACGCAACAAAGCATTCTACCCGGGTATAGAAGCACGAAACTTCAGAAACTTAGAGAGAGCAGGTCTTCAGAGGCTACATCACCTATATCAGGGTGCTGATATTGTCACATTCAACGACCTTAAACAGGGTAGGCATCTGACGCCGGCCAACTTTTTCCGCTATGTACAGATAAGGGACTTCGCCGCCCAACCTCACATTAAGGACGCAGCGAAACATCCCCTCACCTTTTTCGAACGCATATGCACCTCAGAAAACATACCTAGAGGACTGATTTCAATGCTCTATACACACTTCTGTACAGAGACTGGGGAATGGGGGGGCCTGACCTACACCGAAAAATGGGAGAAGGATCTGGGAGAGGAGCTTGAGGGAGTAGAATGGCAGGAGATATGGGAGGCGAACAATACCTCCTCGGTCTGTGTAACTCACCAGGAACAGGCCTTTAAGACAATGTTTCGCTGGTACACAACCCCAGTGACATACAAAATGCACAAAACCACTACAGACTTATGTTGGAGGGGATGCGGAGCCAGGGGAACATACCTCCACATGTGGTGGGAATGCCCCAGCGCGATCCCGTTTTGGGCAGCAGTACACAACCTGGTGCAACAGGTGTTCTCTAGGGCGCCCGTGTTGGAACCATGGGTTTATCTCCTAAACAGGTCGGTGGAGGGATGGACGCGACGGGAACAGAAGCTGCTCCATAAGATTACGCTAGCCGCACGACAAGCAATAGCCTTTAAATGGTTACAGCAGGATCTACCACAAATAACAAGTGTGATAGGTAGGATAAAAGACATCCAGTTGATGGATGACCTTACGGCCAGGGTCAGGGGCACCACCAAGACCTTCCAAAGGGTATGGGAGCCATGGGTCGAATCCCTGTGGGGCGACCGAGGGGGGATTAGGGCAGCCTTGGCAGAACAGACTGAGGTGGATGCGGCGGCCTGGGAAGGGGGCCCTGAGGTACACACAGGCGATTCCCACTCGGGGTGTGTGCTGCGCTCTCTGCCCCCCCCTTGCTGCCCCTCGGCCTCCTGCGCTCGGGCCCTGGACCGCCTAAGGATACTTTTTTCTCTCCTTATTTTTCTTTCTTCTTCTCCACTCTTTTAACCCTTTTCTATGCACGCAGCACCTACATTAGATCTAGGCAGGCCAGGGGAGTGCAGCGGGGTATGGTTGGATCAAGAAGTAGCGAGGGGCGACGGGCTAGGGATACAACAACCCGACAGATATGCACTCGGGGGCGTGACACCACACTTGCGGTGCGAAAATACGCAACAGTGGCACACACAATAGAGTATGTAAGGAAATCGTGCTTCTGTAATGTAAACATTTTTGATGGACGGTGAAATCTGGATGGGCTTTTAATATAATGATGCATATGGGCTTCTGCGAAAGCCGAAATGTGAATCTTATGCCACTGTTCCTGCCATGCACAAATAAAGAATAATAAAAAAAAAGAGACAAAACAGAAGAACTAATAAAATCATGATCAATAAAGTTTTCTGCTGCTCCTGAATCAATGAAGGCATTGGTAAGTATAGTGATCTTAATGACATGTATGATGACTAGGCATGTGCATGGGAAAATTTTTCGGTTCGGTTTGGCATTCCGAAATTCGTGACTTCGGCAATTCGGAACTTCTCTTGCATCCGCTTGGTAGATAACTCCCTAATTCCCATGGTATTAGGGAGTTATCTACCAAAAGGCTGAAAGACCTAAATTGGTCTTTCAGCCAAATTTACTTATACTAAGTAAAGATTACTTAGTATTCGTAAATTATGCCCCTACTCGCTATACCGCGAGTAGGGGCATGTCTAGTAAACAGTGAGCAGCCTGTGGCTGCTCACTGTTAAAAAAACAAACCCGTCCCCTACTCCCATTACGAATTGCACATGTCTAATGATGACAGGTATAATCAGTCTAGCTGAAAAGGTACTAGGGGACATTATTACACCCAAGGCTGGCCCCCAGTTTTGCCTTAGATGTGAGAGTTTTCTGGGCGGCTAGGGCAATCTTTTTTCAAAAGTCCCTTTTATCCATAGTGTATGCATAAGCCTTCTTTTCTCCTATAGTTTTTCTCATACTCAGAAAATTTAGTCTCACCTAGGAGTTCAGTGGAGGGTGGTTTCAAAACAGGGCAAGTGTACATGTGTCTTTGTCTTTCCCTATGCATATGTCTCTCTCTTAGGTGATTGTCTATGTGGCATGCAATAGTCAATCAGATCACATGAATCAGTGGGTAAATCTTTGGTGGCTATTTCATCCAAAATAAAGTCTGCTAAACCCTCCAAATTGATGGGATCCTGTCCTGCTTCCCACTTTATTTCACTGGTGTCACACATCTGGGGACACCTGTGCTGTAGACATTAGGACCATGCAGGGAGTGCTCTAGCCCCAAGCCTGAAGATTTGGGACACACCGCATCACTTGCAACACCCCAGAGTGGCTTGACTACCCCATCCCGACTCTGTAGCCCATGAAGTTCAGAGATATGGCTTAAAGGTATAACCACTCCTGTAGCATTGAGGCCTTTAGAGGCACGCATTAGGCCTTTAGCAGTTTAATCTCGTTAGCACTAAACCCACTGTGTAATAATCTGATATCAACTCCTAACCCCATCTAACATAAGTTTTAAACTTGCATGCATTTACACAGCTGCATACATTCGTTACAGTAGTAACGCATTCAAACACATACATTAAAGCAGAAATATGCACATACATGCATTTATACATATGCAGCAGTCATGTTTTATGCCAAGAATGTCCAGTTAATTAATGCATTATATAATGACTTTATCTGCCTTATTTTGGCATTTGAGAGCAGGGGGCACCTTAGAATGTTTGTGTGTACAGGCACCTAACATGTAAATCCGGCCTGGCTGTGAGTTTCCTTTCTCTGTCCCATCCAGTCCCAACATGCTGAGAGCAGCTTTCTCAAACCAGGAAGAGAATAAACATGTTACAATGCTGCCACCTAAGTATGTTGTAGTTTAGAAAAATTCCCATCTCTGTCTCATTAACCCCTTAAGGACACATGACATGTGTGACATGTAATGATTCCTTTATATTCCAGAAGTTTGGTCCTTAAGGGGTTAAAGATTTTTTTCCCCTGAAGCTGAAGGAAGCAAGGTGAAGTGTTAGTATAGGACTCACCTGGAAGGTTTGTCTTGATGTGGCAGATGAGCTTACATCTAATGGCCATTGGAGTGATACTAAAAACCTCCAGTTATTTAAATATGCATAGGTATTGAAGATAGTGCACAAGTAACTATTTTCTTTGGTTTTTAGTTGCTATAATATACTAACAAAAATAACCATATGACTAATTAGGAGTAAATATCCTATGAACTCATGTGACGTGTTGCACAACTATAATATATATATATATATCCATTATGTGTTAACTGCAAACATTATACTAATAAATTAAATTAAGCCCAATTTAATTCAAACGCTATAGTGTAAACGTGGATAATATGCCGTAGTAAGACAAAGAAAAAATGTAAATATTTAGGGAAAAAATTAAGAGAAAAATTATTCTCTTGAGTCAAATGTTTTAGGATCAAGTTCTCAAACCTTACACATAATACAAGTTATCTTATAAAAAGAAAAGTCTAATTAGTATAACAATTTAAAATACCTTTATTTTTTGGAACACGTTTTACCCTATAATTTGGGGTAAAAAAAAATGCCTGCATATTGTTATCACAAATATGATATATCCAATACCTGTATTGATGCAGCCGTGGGCTAGCCCGGTGGGGAGATCAAAGATTTCCCTCACTGATGTAGCATTATAACTGGTAGATAATGTGTTAATATGTATTTGCATGTTGCAATGCAAGGGTTAAAATATCCTAGTTTATTATAGCTAAAAGAACAGAGACCTGGTATCGACTATCGTTTGCCGATGGCCAGTCCGGGCCTGCTTGGGACCCAACCAGAGTAGTCCCCTTCACCCCACGGGACTGTCCAACTACGAGCACCGGGACATGACTGAGCTCGGACCCCAATGAGCAGCAGGCAACAAGGATCTCACGCTCCGTGAGATAGGGATACAGGGGTAAGGCTCCACACCCACCGCGACCCCCCCCCTTCCGCAGCCCCCTTGGATAACAGCCACAACCGGCCCAAGCTCCCCTCGATGCAACATCACTATCACCTAAAGCCCCAGGCCCGAAAAGCGAGGCTGATCAATGGAGGCACTCACTATCATCCACACCCATATACTTAAACCCACATCAAG